AGAAATCTTTATTCAATCAGAATATATTAAAACAAAAATTCAATTGAATAATCGATGTAATTCAATACAACAAATAATGAATTCAACATTTCAAACTTATTCATATCTTCATCGTATTAAATATTATCCATATTTTTGTCGACAATATAAAGAATTAATGTGTTTTTATGATGAAAATTATATGTGTCTATGTCAAGGGCAAAGTGCTGGCTCCAAGCATCAAATTTTACTAAAAGGTGCCGAAGGTGCTGAACAGGTACCGAAGGTGCTGGAAAGGTGCTGAAGGTACTGGAAAGGTGCTGAGGGTACCGAAGGTGCTGCAAAATTGTTGTAAGTGCTGGTGAATGTAGAAGAGTTTCGTGAAAACCAAGCGATAAAATATGATAGGAAGATAGCGCTCTCTATTGCATATACAATTTAATCACAATACCAGCGAACAAATCGAAAAGCCAATGAGAAATTTACCCATTTCTACATCTCATAACTAAATAATACGTTAAATCTCAGCTCATTGATTTTTTTTATACTCATGAAAAAGACAGAAGTAACTAATCTCCTTATAAATATAAACTTACTGCTTGTGTTTCTTATTCCTATTGAATCGAATATGTTTAACGTGTTTTCTTTAATGCACTCAAAAACGCACGTATCATATTGCAATTATTAACAAGTAATCAATCAATGGAAAACTCATTTCACATCATCATGTCATGTTCTTAAAAGCTGGAATCTGGAAAATATTCACGATATATCGTTGCTTATGAAAAAAATCGTAAAAACAATTATCTTCTTGAGTTCTTTCAGAAATACTCACTCAAAAGAGAAGTAATATCGCATATTGTATCTGAGTGTCTCTGCTTGTGATCAATATTTAAGTTCATTTGTTTTCTTTAAATATAGGCTTATTTATTTCAGATAAATTGTTTTAGTTTAGTTATGCCAGCGTTCACTCAACCGCTAACAGAAAAAAGAATATTTTGCCTGAAGACATTTTCAATTATAACAATGATCTATTTTATGAATTTATTAAACAAGCATATGGAAGTGATATTGCTGAATTATTCAGCTTTCAAGCAATCAGGAATGCAGCACTTCTTCTCGATACATCGTGTGAAGATATTCTATTGGTTTTACAACAAGAATCTGATGACATTGATGCATTAAAGAAAATGTGTTGTTTCAAAGTTGCTGGTAATAAGCATCAAGTTAAACTAGGTGTCAAACTGGCAATTAACAATTTAATTCAATCGTTAAAGTTAAAACAAGAACAAAGTAAAAAAAGAAAGAGATCTTCAAATCAAGGTCTATCTTCAAATATTAATGCTGTAACACCAATCAATCAAGCACAAATACAAAATACAGTAACTCCATTAAAATCAACATTATCTTCTTCATCAACGACGGGCACATCATCAATTCAATCAGCATTAACACCAATGCAACGAAAATTAGATGAACTTGGCCATACAGCTGATATTGAAGAACGAATAAATCGATGGTGGATTATTAATAATGATGATGAACATGCGAGTTTAGAACAAGGTGTTGATTACTTTTTAGCAATCAACAAATCGTCAAGTAACATATATACTTGTGTTTTATCATGTAAATGTCATACTCGTTTTAAATTACCATTTATGACACCGGGATTTTTCAAGATATCATCATCTTATCGACATTTAAAGGAAAAGCAGTGCATGCAACTTTTGAATGTAGTAAAAATTCCTATATTTAAAATAATAATTTGATGAATTTGTGTATATTTAGAGACCTGAAAAAGAAAATGATTTACTTGATGGTGAAACTTCAAATCAATCAAAAGCAGTGCATAATGTCTCAAAGTCATCAAGAGTCGAATCACAGCAAGCTAAAAAAGTAACACATACAATTACATCAAAACGAATTCGATCACCATCAATAGAAACATCATCAGATCGTCATGGTGTTATCAAAAAAAGAATTCAAAATTTTACATCAAGCACGATGCAGACTTCTCAAGAATAGAAACATTATGATAATTATTAGACTTTGTTTATGTTTATAGGATTTCACATTTATCTCTTATTTGAATGTATGAAAATATAGTACAAAAAATTTAATCACTTCGTATTCGATTTTTTAATGGTCTCCTCATACTTTGTGTTAAAAAAAATTATTTTATTTGTATTTTATCTTACTTTAATACTGATAGAAAAAGGGCAGATTACAGTTTTGTATTTGAAGTGAAATTATTTATTATTGTACATATATTACTTTACAATAAAAAATTGATTTCTCTATGGAACTTATTGATTCATATACTTTTAGGGAGATTTGTATTTTTCTATACTTTAATTAGCAATCAACAGTACCTTAACTTCATATTATTATCATATAGTTAAATAGCAGCTATGAATATTCTTCAACTAATCGAATTAACAGATGATATGATGAATTTAGCTCATGATCAATTTTATGACTTCATAGAAACTGCTCTGAATAAAGATATATGCGAGCTTTTTCGATTACAATCTATTCAAGAAATGTCTCCTTTATCATCCACAACAGTAGATGAATTAACAGAAATACTTAGTTATGACATTGTGGAATTAAGTTCTATTAAAAGAATACTTGGCTTTGTATCAACAGATGGGAAATTTCATCTTCGAATTGGGTTTAGAATCCCACTTGAACGTTTAATTTCATTAGTGAAATCTAAAACAAATTCTTATCTAAAAAATTATGAGCCAAAATGTAACCATTTAGAATATGATATATTAGGTAAATTAACAGAAATTTGGAGGCAAGGACCTATGTCATCCAATATAAACGACATTCCAATACTCATTCCTTGGATAAAAAATATTTTTGAAAATTTTAAACAGCAAAAGAATAGATTTAGTTATGATAATCATATTCAACAATTCGCTCTATTATTATTTATTCTTGGTGGCAGAAATTGCTATGAATTTCTTCGATTGAATTTACCTGCTGCTTTACCTCATGTATCTAATATTGAATTACTGATGAGAAACAATGAACAAAGAATAATTGAATGTGAATTTCGTTTTCAGCTGATAAAAGAATATTGTCAATCTAACAATTGTAATTATGTGTTTTCGTCTGAAGATTCTACTCGATGTATTTCTCGTATTGATTATGATGCACAATCGGATAATTTTATTGGTTTTTCTTCATGTTTAGTTAATGGATTAGCACAGCAGAATTTTTTCCAGACGAATAAATTCGACGAATTGAAGCTGTGGTTTGATACATTTGATAAATCGACATCTATTAATCTTCATATGATACAATCTATAGTGTCATCCCCTTCCCCATTCATTTTATCCACTTATGGGTCAAATAACAAGTCTACTGCAACTGATGTATTAAAAAGATGGTTATATATCTATAATCAATGTTTATATCAAGGTATCCGGGTCATAGGCTTTAGTAGTGATTGTGACGCTCGTTATCTTAGAGCAATGCGATTATGCACTCGGTTTTTTGCACAGCTACCTAACTTAAATCTTCTTCAACAGAGAGATGATTTTCATTTACAGATACCTGAGCAGTGGTCTTGGTTTTTTATGAGCGGTCAACAAATTTGACTTTTTATGCAAGATCCTATTCATTTAGCAACAAAATTTCGAAATAGACTGCTCTCTAAAATAGCGTCTATGAAAATGGGTGATTACCGTATTAGTATTGAACATTTGATTGATTTGATAGAATCGAAAAACAAAGTTGAACATAATTTAATTAAAAGTGATATCTGTCCGAAAGACAGACAAAATTATGCTTCGTGTCGAAGAATATCGTCCGAATTAGTTCTACAATTATTAAAGGAGCAAGCAGATTATAAAGGAACATATATTTATTTGTCATTATTACGATCTGTTATAATAGGGTTAATAGAAAAATCAACAACTGTTGAAGAGCGTTTGTATCATATATGGAGTGTGGTATTCACATGTAGGTTTTGGTGGACATGGTTACAGCATTCGAAACTAAAAATTAATTATGATGACAATAATGATGAAATAATAGATAATATTAAAGCTAATAGTTTTATTACAAAGCCAACGTTTTGGTGTATAGAAATTAATGCTCATACACTACTTTATATTGTTTTATTAGTTATTAAAAGAAAACTGCCCGTTAATGCACTTAATACATATCTTTTTAATTCACAAACATGTGAAAATACTTTTCGTATAGCACGTGCTTTATCAGGTCCGTATTCTTCAATCACAAATTTCACTGTTAAATCATTCACAAAGAAGTGCGAAAAAATATCGATAATCAATTCTATTAAATCTCGTGGTGGGCAAATAGGTGAATATAATTTTAAATTTCCACAACATCATAAAGTTGAAAAAGAAGCACACGACTATTCAATAAATCCTATTCAGCATTTGAATTTAACGGAATCCGATATTGAAAAAATTATACAAAGTGCATTTGAATCAGCTAAACAAAATATTGAAATCGTCAATATAACCACAGTGTTAAAAAATAAACATAAATACTCAATTTCCGAACTAAGTCAATATATAAAAACAAATATCAGTAAATCGTCGTCAAAAGTAATAGATTATACAAAAGGTTTTTTGATTTTGATGATGAAAGCGACGAAGATGATCTACAAGATGATGAAAATGATTCACCGATGTCTAATGATAAAGATCAAATATCAGCGAATAGTACTGATGGAGAAGAAGAAGAACAAGAAGAAGATGCTATAGCTAGTAATCTCTCTGATGTTGAAAAAAAAAGCTTTCATGGCTGTCGAATCTATGATAGAATCAATCCTCAACAAAGTAAAAAATATTTTC